GCCCAGCTCATCAGTGGCCCTGCTCATCAATGGCCCTGCTCATCAGTGGCCCAGCTCATCAGTGGCCCTGCTCATCAATGGCCCTGCTCATCAGTGGCCCTGCTCATCAGTGGCCCTGCTCATCAGTGGCCCTGCTCATCAGTGGCCCTGCTCATCAGTGGCCCAACTCATCAGTGGCCCTACTCATCAGTGGCCCTACTCATCAGTGGCCCTGCTCATCAGTGGCCCTGCTCATCAGTGGCCCAGTGTTACAAAAAACGCGATTTCTAATAAGCTTAGAGATCTCTAGTGAATACTAGAAAGGACTGCCCTTCCAGCATCCAGCCTGTTACTGGGTTTTTGTAACAAGTAGTCAGTATCCTGGTCCAATTATCCATTAGAATTTAGTAAGATTCAATAGTGCTTCAGGATTACAACTGGTAGGCTACTAACTAAAGAAATTAAAATTTAATAAGTTTATTAATAACAATAAAGTTGTCTAGGCGTATATTATCAAAGTAAATTAAAGTAATCAATTGAATATAATATAGGATACAAGTTGCTACACTTCTCTGTGTACAGTAGTATTGAGCTGAAGGCTCGTATCACATCTTTATGACTTTTAATTACCGTCTGGTACATTATTAGCATTTAATAACATAATACATATATATACAAGTAAGTTTGTGTGTATGTGTGTAAGTGCTCTAAGTAGTTTGCTATGTCTCAAGACTCGACTAGACTTAACCAGTGACTAAAAGTCCTCACATAAACTAACTTCTTGACCAATCTGGCAATCAGAACAGCTTGCTTGAACAATAAAATGACTGATAAACCGAACAGCAATATAACAAGCAACAGCGGCCCAGCTCATCAGTGGCCCTGCTCATCAGTGGCCCAGCTCATCAGTGGCCCTGCTAATCAGTGGCCCAGCTCATCAGTGGCCCTGCTCATCAGTGGCCAGCTCATCAGTGGCCCTGCTCATCAGTGGCCCAGCTCATCAGTGGCCCAGCTCATCAGTGGCCCAGCTCATCAGTGGCCCTGCTCATCAGTGGCCATGCTCATCAGTGGCCCTGCTCATCAGTGGCCCAGCTCATCAGTGGTCCAGCTCATCAGTGGTCCAGCTCATCAGTGGCCCTGCTCATCAGTGGCCTAGCTCATCAGTGGTCCAGCTCATCAGTGGCCCTGCTCATCAGTGGCCCAGCTCATCAGTGGCCAAGCTCATCAGTGGCCCAGCTCATCAGTGACCCTGCTCATCAGTGGCCCAGCTCATTAGTGGCCCAGCTCATCAGTGGCCCAACTCATCAGTGGCCCTGCTCATCAGTGGCCCAGCTCATCAGTGGTCCAGCTCATCAGTGGCCCTGCTCATCAGTGGCCCAGCTCATCAGTGGCCCTGCTCATCAGTGGCCCAGGTCATCAGTGGCCCTGCTCATTAGTGGCCTTGTCCATCAGTGGCCCTGCTCATAAGTGGCCCATCTCATCAGTGGCCCTGGTCATCAATGGCCCAGCTCATCAGTGGCCCTGGTCATCAGTGGCCAGCTCATCAGTGGCCAGCTCATCAGTGGCCTTGCTCATCAGTGGCCAGCTCCTCGGTGGCCCAGCTCCTCAGTGGCCCAGCTCATCAGTGGCCAGCTCATCAATGGCCCTGCTCATCAGTGGCCCAGCTCATCAGTGGAACTGCTCATCAGTGGCCCAGCTCATCAGTGGCCCTGCTCATTAGTGGCCAGCTCATCAGTGGCCCTGCTCATCAGTGGCCCAGCTCATAAGTGGCTCTGCTCATCAGTGGCCCTGCTCATCAGTGGCCCAGCTCATCAGTGGCCAGCTCATCAGTGGCCTTGCTCATCAGTGACCCAGCTCATCAGTGGCCAGCTCATCAGTGGCCCTGCTCATCAGTGGCCCAGCTTATCAGTGGCCCTGCTCATCAGTGGCCCAGCTCATCAGTGGCCAGCTCATCAGTGGCCCTGCTCATCAGTGGCCCAGCTCATCAGTGGCCCTGCTCATCAGTGGCCAGCTCATCAGTGGCCAGCTCATCAGTGGCCAGCTCATCAGTGGCCCAGCTCATCAGTGGCCAGCTCATCAGTGGCCCTGCTCATCAGTGGCCCTGCTCATCAGTGGCCCAGCACATCAGTGGCCCTGCTCATCAGTGGCCAGCTCATCAGTGGCCCAGCTCATCAATGGCCAGCTAATCAGTGGCCCTGCTCATCAGTGGCCCAGCTCATCAGTGGCCCAGCTCATCAGTGGCCCTGCTCATCAGTGGCCCAACTCATCAGTGGCCAGCTCATCAGTGGCCCAGCTCATCAGTGGCCCTTCTCATCAGTGGCCCAGCTCATCAGTGGCCCAGCTCATCAGTGGCCCAGCTCATCAGTGGCCCTGCTCATCAGTGGCTCTGCTCATCAGTGGCCCTGCTCATCAGTGGCCCACCTCATCAGTGGCCCACCTCATCAGTGGCCCAGCTCATCAGTGGCCCTGCTCATGTGGCCCAGCTCATCAGTGGCCCAGCTCATCAGTGGCCAGCTCATCAGTGGCCCTGCTCATCAGTGGCCCAGCTCATCAGTGGCCCAGCTCATCAGTGGCCCTGCTCATCAGTGGCCCAGCTCATCAGTGGCCAGCTCAACAGTGGCCCAGCTCATCAGTGGCCCTGCTCATCAGTGGCCCAGCTCATCAGTGGCCCTGCTCATCAGTGGCCCAGCTCATCAGTGGCCCTGCTCATCAGTGGCTCTTCTCATCAGTGGCCCTGCTCATCAGTGGCCCAGCTCATCAGTGGCCCAGCTCATCAGTGGCCCAGCTCATCAGTGGCCCTGCTCATGTGGCCCAGCTCATCAGTGGCCCTGCTCATCAGTGGCCCTGCTCATCAGTGGCCCAGCTCATCAGTGGCCCTGCTCATCAGTGGCCCAGCTCATCAGTGACCCAGCTCATCAGTGGCCCAGCTCATCAGTGGCCCAGCTCATCAGTGGCCCAGCTCATCAGTGGCCCGCTCATCAGTGGCCCAGCTCATCATTGACCCAGCTCATCAGTGGCCCTGCTCATCAGTGGCCCAGCTCATCAGTGGCCCAGCTCATCAGTGGCCCAGCTCATCAGTGGCCCAGCTCATCAGTGGCCCAGCTCATCAGTGGCCCAGCTCATCAGTGGCCCGCTCATCAGTGGCCCAGCTCATCATTGACCCAGCTCATCAGTGGCCCAGCTCATCAGTGGCCCTGCTCATCAGTGGCCCAGCTCATCAGTGGCCCAGCTCATCAGTGGCCCAGCTCATCAGTGGCCCTGCTCATCAGTGGCCTAGCTCATCAGTGGCCAGCTCATCAGTGGCCCAGCTCATCAGTGGCCAGCTCATCAGTGGCCCAGCTCATTAGTGGCCCAGCTCATCAGTGGCCTGCTCATTAGTGGCCCTGCTCATCAGTGGCCCAGCTCATCAGTGGCCCAGCTCATCAGTGGCCCAGCTCATCAGTGGCCCAGCTCATCAGTGGCCCAGCTCATCAGTGGCCAGCTCATCAGTGGCCAGCTCATCAGTGGCCCAGCTCATCAGTGGCCCAGCTCATCAGTGGCCAGCTCATCAGTTGGGTTTCATAACTAAAATAATTTGTTATATAATATTAATAATTCTGTTGCTCTAGTTGTCAGTTTTATTGATTCTTGATGACTGTTGACAAGGCAAATATTAAAACAAACAGAAACAGTACAGTGTAGTGCAGCTGCAGGTCTGGTCACACACTTTATATAATATAGACAAGTTGAAGAATATAACATATGTGCAACAGTTGAGAATCTTTATTGTTGAATGAAACGTTTCACCTACATAGTCATCTTCAGTCAAATATAGAGGCAGCAGGCATAGTAGCGAAGATGTAATCAGTCCATCAACCTTGGAGAAATTGTTTCTGAGGTGGTTAGTCCCTCAACCTGGAGAGGTGTTCGGTTCCATAGTCTGGAACAATGTGAAGCTGAACCATCAGAATGGAGTCTTATAAAAAATAATAAATACCAAAGAACAAGTTCTCTGGAAAGTCACATTACAATGTCAGGAGAGTTGTAGGTGAAGTGTCAATCCTTACTCAAGGTGGTCACCAAGTGAAGGAAATATTAACAAACAGGAAGTTAAAATCCACTACAAGATTTATGAGACATCAGAAAATACAAATGCTTTCACTAAATGGTATTAATCGCTCGCCATTGGTCTACCTGGGGTCTGCCTGGAGGGCATTCCGGGGATCAACGCCCCCGCGGCCAGGTACATGACTAGGCCTCCTGGTGGATCAAGGCCTGATCAACGAGGTTGTTACTGCTGGCTGCACATAGTCCAACGTATGAACCACAGCCCGGCTGATCCGGCACTGACTTTAGGTATCTGTCCAGTTCCCTCTTGAAGACAACCAGGGGTCTACCGGTAATTCCCCTTATGACTGGTGGGAGGCTGTTGAACAGTCTTGGGCCCCGGATACTTATTGCGTTTTCTCTTAGCGTACCAGTGGCGCCCCTACTTTCACCGGGGATAAGTTGCATCCCCTGCATTCGTAGGAAGTTATTTCTGTTTGCAGATTAGGGACCAGTCCCTCCAGGATCTTCCAGGTGTAGATTATGATACATCTCTCGCCTGCGCTCCAGTGAGTACAAATCAAGTGCTTCCAGGCGTTCCCAGTAGTTAAGGTGTTTGATGGAACCTATACGTGCAGTAAAGGTTCTCTGTACACACTTTAGATCTGCAATTTCACCTGCCTTGAATGGTGATGTTCATGAACAGCAGTATTCCAGCCTAGAGAGAACAAGTGATTTAAAAAGGATCATCACTGGATTGGTATCTCTTGTCTTGAATATTCTCATTATCCATCCTATTAGTTTCCTCGCAAGATGTGACAGTGGCACTGTTGCGATCCTTGAAGGTGAGATCCTCAGACATTACTAAAAAATGCCTTAAGCTTTCTAAAAGCCCATGAAATCTGGAAATAAATTTTAAAATAATGTTAATACGTATTTCCCTAACACTATACACAGAAAACAGATGTTTGTAATCATGTTTCCCCTCTCTCCAGATTTAACCTTGACGATCGACGAGTCGGGGAGTTCCAGAGAGGTGCCCACTGCTCTGCCCTCACTCACACACAAGATTCCGCACAGGAAGCTCAAGGTGTACCAGAGGGAACCTTTTCAAGACCCCGCACAAGAAAAACGGAGGATCAACGCTATCTTAGCAAAACAAAACAGGGATCAGAAAAAAAAGTAAGTAGCTGGTACCTGCCACCATAGCACAGATAAGTCCCACACCAGTACTGCTGGATAACTCTCTCACAGGCGTTAAGTATTAATATGTCCCTTTAATAAATAAAATAATGGACCTTGGTCTACCAGAGTTAAACTATTAAATAACTAGAATTAATATCTGAATACTCACTCCCTATTAACGGGTTTTGATAGAGTTAGGTTAAGAGTTCATAACTTTTATTACTAGTTAAGAAGTATTACCTGCCTCAGGTCATTTGATGACCTTCCACAGCAATACCCTTAAATTTGTATTCTCAGGAAACATATATATTGGGAATATGATGAAGCTGGAGCTGTGGGGCCACACATTGTATTTTCTTAATTAACTTTATTTCATCAATGTTATTATGCTCTCTCTCTCTCTCTCTCTCTCTCTCTCTCTCTCTCTCTCTCTCTCTCACTATATACATATCGTGCCGAATAGGTAAAACTTGTGATTTTGGCTTAAATAGCAACGCTCTTCTTGCCGAATAACGCAAGCGAAAATTTGTGTATGCATTAATTTCGCAAAAATGATTCTGAACCTAATGAAAAAAAATATACTTAATTGTGTGTTTATTATTAAATTATTGTAAACTTATCTAAAATATATTTAGTTGGATTAGGTTAAGTTAAATTGCGCTTGTTATAATAACGTTAGGTAAGTTTTCTAATGTTCTTTAGGTACAAAATTATTAATTTTTACATTAACATAAATGAAAAATATATCTTTAAACGTATAAAACAAATTTTTTGAAAGGAATTAATTTTAAATGAGTTCTTGCTAAATGACCAGTTTTACCTATTCGACACCACACACACACACACACACACACACACACACACACACACACACACACACACACACACACACAACACACACAACACACACACACACACACACACACACAACACACACACACACACACAACACACACACACACACACACACACACACACACACACACACACACACACACACACACACACACACACACACACACACACACACACACACACACACACACACACTGGCTGCAGTGGCCAGAAGAGCTCATACATGCAGGGCAAAGCTCCTGATCATGGGCGACTTTAACCACAAGGAGATCGAATGGGAGAACTTGGAGTCACATGGGGGCCAAGATACATGGAGGGTTAAGATGAGTGGGCACCTGTGACCAGCGGGGTCCCGCAGGGGTCAGATGTTCCAGAGACTGGACACAGTTGGAAGCTGAAGACACAGATGAATCAAAGGGATGTTAGGAAGTATTTCTTCAGCCACAGAGTAGTCAGGAAGTGGAATAGTTTGGGAAGCGATGTAGTGGAGGCAGGATCCATACATAGCTTTAAGCAGAGGTACGATAAAGCTCATGGTTCAGGGAGAGTGACCTAGTAGCGACCAGTGAAGAGGCGGGGCCAGGAGCTTGGACTCGACCCCTGCAACCTCAACTAGGTGAGTACAACTAGGTGAGTACATACACACACATATACACACACATATACACACATATATACACACATACACACACACACACACACACACACACACACACACACACACACACACACACACACACACACACACACACACACACACATATACACACACATATACAGTGTCAGACTGACGACACTGGAGGGCAGAAGGGTCAGGGGAGACATGATAACGACATACAAGATACTGCGGGGAATAGACAAGGTGGACAGAGATAGGATGTTCCAGAGATTTGACACAGAAACAAGGGGTCACAACTGGAAGCTGAAGACTCAGGCGAGTCACAGGGACGTTAGCAAGTATTTCTTCAGTCACAGAGTCGTCAGGAAGTGGAATAGCCTAGCAAGTGAAGTGGTGGAGGCAGGAACCATACATAGTTTTAAGAAGAGGTATGATAAAGCTCATGGAGCAGGGAGAGAAAGGACCTAGTAGCACTCAGTGAAGAGGCGGGGCCAGGAGCTAAGTCTCGACCCCTGCAATCACAATTAGGTGAGTATACACACGCACACACACACACACACACACACACACCACACACACACACACACACACACACACACAACATGCACACACGCACACACGCGCACACACGCACACACACGCACACACGCACACACACGCACACTTGAACTTGGAACCACATGGGGGCCAAGATACATGGAGGGCTAAGATGATGGAGGTGGTACTGGAAAATTTCATGTATCAACACGTAAGGGACACTACAAGAGAGAGAGGAGAGAATGAAATAGCAAGGCTGGACTTAGTATTCACCTTGAGTAGTGCAGATAGTGAGGACATCACATATGAAAGACCCCTTGGGGCCAGCGATCATGTGTTTTTGAGCTTCGAATACACAGTAGAGCTACAAGTGGAGGGAGAAGCAGGAAGGCCAGGACGATTGAAGCCAAACTACAAGAAAGGGGACTACACGGGAATGAGGAACTTCCTGAACGGGGTTCAGTGGGACAGAGAACTGGCAGGGAAGCCAGTTAATGAGATGATGGAATATGTAGCAACAATGTGCAAGGAGGCTGAGGAGAGGTTTATACCCATGGGTAACAGGAATAATGAAAAAGCCAGGATGAGCCAATGGTTCACCCAAAGGTGCAGGGAGGCAAAAACCAAGTGTGCTAGGGAATGGAAGAAATATAGAAGGCAAAGGACCCATGAGAATAAGGAGAGCAGTTGTAGAGCCAGAAACGAATATGCACAGATAAGAAGGGAGGCCCAAAGACAATATGAAAACGACATAGCAGCGAAAGCCAAATCTGACCCGAAACTGTTATACAGCCACATCAGGAGGAAAACAACAGTCAAGGACCAGGTAATCAGGCTAAGGAAGGAGGAGAGACAACAAGAAATGACCGTGAAGCATGTGAGGAACTCAACAAGAGATTCAAAGAAGTGTTCACAGAGGAGACAGAAGGGGCTCCAGAAAGACAGAGAGGTGGGGCACACCACCAAGTGCTGGACACAGTGCACACAACCGAAGAAGTGAAGAGGCTTCTGAGTGAGCTAGATACCTCAAAGGCAATGGGGCCAGATAACATCTCTCCGTGGGTCCTGAGAGAGGGAGCAGAGGCGCTATGTGTATCCCTAACAACAATATTCAATACATCTATCGAAACAGGGAGATTGCCTGAGGCATGGAAGACAGCAAATGTGGTCCCAATCTTTAAAAAAGGAGACAGACATGAAGCACTAAACTACAGACCAGTGTCACTGACATGAGTAGTATGCAAAGTCATGGAGAAGTTTATAAGAAGAAGAGTGGTGGAACACCTAGAAAGGAATGATCTCATCAACAGCAGCCAACATGGGTTCAGGGACGAGAAATCCTGTGTCACAAATCTACTGGAGTTCTATGACATGGTGACAGAAGTAAGACAAGAGAGAGAGGGGTGGGTGGATTGCATATTCATGGACTGCAAGAAGGCGTTTGACACAGTTCCACACAAGAGATTAGTGCAAAAACTGGAGGACCAAGCAGGGATAACAGGGAAGGCACTACAATGGATCAGGGAATACTTGTCAGGAAGACAGCAGCGAGTCATGGTACGTGGCGGGTGTCAGAGTGGGCACCTGTGACCAGCGGGGTCCCACAGGGGTCAGTCCTAGGACCTGTGCTGTTTCTGGTATTTGTGAACCACATGACGGAAGGAATAGACTCCGAGGTGTCCCTGTTTGCAGATGACGTGAAGTTGATGAGAAGAATTCACTTGATCAAAGACCAGGCAGAACTACAAAGGGATCTGGACAGGCTGCAGACCTGGTCCAGCAATTGGCTCCTGGAGTTCAATCCCACCAAGTGCAAAGTAATGAAGATTGGGGAAGGGCAAAGAAGACCGCAGACGGAGTACAGTCCAGGGAACCAGAGACTACAAACCTTACTCAAGGAAAAAGATCTTGGGGTGAGTATAACACCAGCCACATCTCCTGAAGCGCACATCAACCAAATAACGGCTGCAGCATATGGGCGCCTAGCAAACCTCAGAACAGCATTCCGACATCTTAATAAGGAATCGTTCAGGACCCTGTACACCGTGTACGTTAGGCCCATATTGGAGTGTGCGGCACCAGTTTGGAACCCACACCTAGCCAAGCACGTAAAGAAACTAGAGAAAGTGCAAAGGTTTGCAACAAGACGTCCCAGAGCTAAGAGGTATGTCCTACGAAGAGAGGTTAAGGGAAAACAACCTGACGACACTGGAGGACAGGAGAGATAGGGGGGACATGATAACGACATACAAAATATTGAGAGGAATTGACAAGATGGACAAAGACAGGATGTTCCAGAGACTGGACACAGTAACAAGGGGACACAGTTGGAAGGTGAAGACACAGATGAATCACAGGGATGTTAGGAAGTATTTCTTCAGCCACAGAGTAGTCAGGAAGTGGAATAGTTTGGGAAGCGATGCAGTGGAGGCAGGATCCATACATAGCTTTAAGCAGAGGTATGATAAAGCTCACGGTTCAGGGAGAGTGACCTAGTAGCGACCAGTGAAGAGGCGGGGCCAGGAGCTCGGACTCGACCCCTGCAACCTCAACTAGGTGAGTACACACACACACACACACAGAGCCAGAAATGAATATATACAGATAAGAAGAGAGGCCCAACGATAATATGAAAACGACATAGCAGCGAAAGCCAAATCTGACCCGAAGCTGTTATACAGCCACAGCAGGAATAAAACAACAGTCAAGGACCAGGTAATCAGGCTAAGGAAGGAAGGAGGAGAGACAACAAGAAATGACCGTGAAGCATGTGAGGAACTCAACAAGAGATTCAAAGAAGTGTTCACAGAGGAGACAGAAGGGGCTCCAGAAAGACGGAGAGGTGGGGCACACCACCAAGTGCTGGACACAGTACACACAACCGAGGAAGAAGTGAAGAGGCTTCTGAGTGTGCTAGATACCTCAAAGGTAATGGGGCCGGATAACATCTCTCCATGGGTCCTGAGAGAGGGAGCAGAGGCGCTAT